TGGTGGATGCCCCATCCCTGGAAACATTCAAGGTCAGGTTGGACGGGGCTCTGAGCAACCTGATCTAGTGGAAGATGTCCCTGCTCGTTGCAGGGGTTTGGACTAGATGACCTTTAGAGGTCCCTTCCAACCCAAACTATTCTATGATTCTATCTAATATGGGTAGTGGGAATATAATCCCTTATAGCTCTTCATCTGGCTTCATGCAAACTAGTAATACTGTACTTGCAATAGTTAGTAACTGTTTTACATTTAATTCCTCCCATTTTGGATGCACTGACTCATGTATTTATTCACCTTTTAATTTATTTGTAATAATTAGGTTTCTGGAATAGCAGATGGAAGAAACATGGAACTCCTCTACATCTTCATGAGTGCTGAGAATAAAATGAAAGCCATTTTTGCTCATCCCCTGTATGAAAATGGCAATGTAACACAATGGCTATCTTGTCTGAACTAACAGCTACAATAATACTGTTTTTAAAACCAGAACAGTAAAGTGTTGACAAGTAAATCAATTATTAAATTGTAAATTAAGAAATTAAAAGACAATGAAAGTGGAAATGGGAACCCAAACAACTTATTGGTCATTACTAAGATTGAAAAAATCTGTTTTGCCACAAGGAAATGGGAAAATAGAAAATGAGAAAACTCTCATACAAGGTAGTGTATTTCTCTTACTGTTTGGAAAAAATAATAGGTTAACAATTTAAATAATTTAGATTGTATAACCTCAAACATTCAGTTCTCCTTAAACTGATGTAAATTCAGATTATTGTGATTGATGTCCAGAGATGTACCAATGTAAAATTTGTGCAAGGGCAACACTGAGATGCAGAATGAAAAGGTTCCAATTTTTCATTTAAAAATGTATTCTTTCAGCCTCACGTTTTCTTCAGAGGAACTCCTATTGCATAGTATTTACCTTCCCACAAATATATTCTTACATTTTGTACACATGCATTCATACATCTAAGATATGGAAAACAACTATTAATAAATAACACAGTTAATTTCCCTAAGTTCATTGAGAGTATAGTTCACACATATTTTGCACTTCCTCCCACCAAAGACAGCAGAAAACTTCCTACTTCAAAGACAGCAGCATCAAGCTCACTAAATGCTATCTGCAGATATTAAGGATCTTCAAGAGCTGAAAAGAACAAACCCAGGAAAGGGATTTGGAGTCTCATTTCACAAGTGCCAAGATGAATGTTAAAGACTAAAATTAGTTTTCAGCCTGGTTCTTTAACATGTCTCTGTAGGCTACTTTGCATTATGATTTTTTCAAGCACATATTAATACAACCTCAGTCCTACCTTTTAAAGTTTCCATAATGAACTTTTTGAGATAGTAAATATATTTGGCATCATCTCTCTTGGTGCTACCAGAAACAAACCAGCTGTTCTCCACAATGAGTATTTGGGGTTTGTTATATTCACTGCTTATCCAGTAAAGGAGCTGCCTCAGGCTTATTGATTCCAACTGCTGGAATTTCATGTGGGAGTCCAAGAGCTGGAAACTCAGGGTAGCTCCAAAAGAAAGAGCAAAAAAGTCTGCTGTTCCCTTAATGTACTTCTTCTCAACTTCACTGAATTCAGGCAACAGAGATGAGAGGTTGCTCCTCATGCTCTCTGGATAGTCACCATCAATAAATATGGGCTTAGCAAACCAGCCGAGCACGAAATCAAGGGATTTTTGACATTCTTTTATGTTTTTTTCAGTCATACGTTGAGGTTTTATCCAGTGGGAGCTAAGGGCAATAGACACTTTTCCTCTTTGAGTTGGACGAAAATGGTCATTGTAGAGATGCCAGACTTTAGCATGGGCCTGTTGAAAAGAAAGACTGTAATCAATGCACCTGAAATTCCATTTTAAGTAACACAATCAGTCTCAAGTACTGACGTCCAGTGTCATGTAGTAACCACATAAACATGGCATTTGAGGGCTCAGCCTTATTCATTCATCAGCAGTTTACAACTCCTAAATTAACTTTTCTTTAATACCATATTAATACCATATATCAACTAGAAATCGCTAGTTGGTTGGGGAAAACAGCATCTCAGTTTTCCATGAGATACTATTCCAGGCACTGAACACACTTTTGGTAGCTAGTTAGACACCTTTATTAACTTCTGTTATTGAGTTCAGACATACTTCCAGTATTTACAAAAATAAAAATGTATTTAACTAAACATGTTTCAAAGTATGTTTTCATTATAGGAATATCACTTTATCTGTAGATTCACTGATATATAAAGAAGGAAGGTCTATTCTTAAGAACTGCCCAAATCTCTCAAACAATACAGGACAAAGAAACACCCTTGAACTTATTCCTCTTTGAACCAGAACACACAGTATAGGAAAAACTACCAATCTGGATTTAAAAAAGTCTGGTGAAAAACAATTTACCACAGCTCCTGAAAAATTATTCCAATGATTCAATTTAATTTGTTTTATTAAAATTTGCTATTTACCCCTAGCATCAGATTTCAACCGCTTGTCTTGGTATAATTTTATCTATTACTGTGAGGCGATCTTTTCTACCAGATTTCTTTCCTACGATCTTACAGAGTAAGTTGAAACAGTCTCTTGATGTTCCCTTTGAAAGCTAAATAGATTAAGTTCCTGGAGCCTTGCATTATCTTCAGGCATAACTTCAAGGCCTCTAACCAGTCTCACCGATTCTCTTCCTGTGATTCTCTTCCAATTTGTCATCATCTGTCTTAAACTGCAGAAGCAGAATTGGACATAATATGCCAGTGGTAGTCTTGCCAGCAGTAAAACCAGAGACAATTTAATACACTATTTCTGCTTATGTGGCCATAGCATTACACTGTGAGCATACGCTCATTTAAACTACCATATCTCCGCAGCCCTTCACCATCTAAAATGTATTTTTTCTTTGCACCTACCTTATCAAAGAATTTTGACTGCTCTATGAATCAACATTCCATCTTTTTGCCATCTACACATTAGTAGAAATTGTAATGCTTTTTTCTAGGTCATTGATAAAAAGGTAAAAAATATGAGATCTATTCATTAGAATAAAGCCTACCTAATAACTATTCCCAGTTTACATTTGCATTTTGAGACTTATCAGTTAGTATTTGTTCATATGTGCTGTGATGTCATGAACCTCCATTCTTGCCATACAAAGTCACAGGAGTGATGAATATATATGACAGATTATTAATCAAAATGTCACACGCATTTTTAGCCCTCCCTGGCATATAAACCATATAGAAAGCCTTATAATTCCACTCCATGCAGTTAGTATGTTGGCAAATTTTGTCATTAATGTATTGATAGCTGCTGTTCATAGTTTCCTTTTCATACACTCTTACCATTCAAGTGCTGAACCACAATGATTTCCAGTAATAATCTTAAGCAATTAGGATTATTAATAATTTTTGACATAGACACTGTTAATTACCCAGGAAAAATAATGAATTCTATCATTCTACTGTTTTTGCAGAATTGTAATTTTCACTGCTGAGAGAAAAACAACTGGAAGTGAAGGACAACTAAAGGTAAGATCAATAATCAAGGCTCAGTTCAGCTGCCCCCATACAGAAACCTGCTGCCTTTGAGTCATCATGGGGTATATAAAACACCTGTGCAGATGTGACATCGGCTCTAGAGGAGACTAGACCCATGCCCTTTTAGAGTGGTTACCAAAACCCAAAGAGAACATCTTGGAAACTGTGAACCACAGTACACACCTATGTGCGTGTATCTGAATCAAGCTCTCAGTTGCAAACTTCAATGTACATGCTCTCATCTATAATACATCAATAGCTCAAATAAATGTGATGCAGTCCTACCATCTGTCTATATTAATACAATGGATTTTGATGCTAGTGAGAAACTAAATATAGTAACCACTTCAAAGCCTCATGTCAAAATAAGAGCTGACCTAAGCACAGACTTAATTTTACTTCACGCTGAAGCTCCTTTACACTGATGAAAGAACAAAAGCCATTACGCACCATGACCAAAACGCTACACACCCAACACTTTAAATATGATTTTTAAAATACCATTGGGAAAAAATGTGCCACCACTTGCAACTCAAATTTGGACACCCAAATTTTCCCTCATAAAGGTGCTTCCTCTGTTGGACCTGACTCATCTCCAGATTTCCTGTCTCAAATGTTAAGATACCACTATGCACACTCTCAAACACACAATTTCATCTCTGTCATCTGCACTTGCAAGTATGCTGCCTACCCACAGAGCACCTCAAGGACTATGGAAGACTTGCCCCATAACTCTTGGCCCTCCCTACTCCCATCAGTGGAGAGAGATCTTCCAGCATTTTAGTAGCCTGGACTGATTCTACCATGAAGCAAGGAGGAAGGGAATCCCACAGGTTATCCCTCTCCACAGATAAGGAGGTGCTGTTCATCCCTCATTGCAATGAAAAAATATGAAGTGTAACAATGTGGGATTATCTCATTCAACTTTACTTTCTAAGCGGGTCATCTAGTCTGCCTCTATAGAAAATGAGAAGACTGGTGTCTAAGATATGCAGGGTGAGTCACTCTTTGGGAGTCCATCTCTCTCCACTGATGACAGACAAAACCTGTTATTTAGTTTAGACATGTTCTATGGACAGATGAAAGCAGGCAAGAAGCAGCCCACTTAAATATCTGCCCCCTGGAGTGTGCATGAAGTGGAATTATACTATTTCCATTAAAAAAACAGCTAAACATAGAAAATAGTGCATCAAAGTCCCCAGGCTCTGTGGACATAGATTAATGAAGTGGTTCAAAAATGCACAGAAATAAAGCTGGAAGAAGCCAGTGACAGAGCAGAGAGTCTCTATGGAAATCTGGGACAGAATTCATTTGCCTAAAATTAGGTGTCTAATGCAGTTTTAGAGACTTCAGAGTATTCTAGCCTCTAACTGCAGTTTCAGAAAGCTTGAGTCTCCCATAAATCCTAAGTCAGATCTCTCAGTCCCACAGAAACACCTGGGACACTATAGGATGTGTCAAATGATAATTTACACCTATACCTATCTTCAGGCAAATGAATCCCACTCCTAGGGTGGGACTCATTTTGAGCTGAAGACACTGTGTATTTCACTGTCCACATGTGAGCTAGATGCCCAAGCTCCCAGTATAGGCAATGGAGATCTCAGGCTCAACTCAGCTGCCTGAACAGAGTCATCTAGTTGCCTAGATGATACAACATCTAGTTGCCAGAACGATACAGGCCTACGTCACATCTGCCATTTCCATGCAGATGTCCTAAATAGCCAGGGAGGTCTCACACAGCACTACTTACACTGAGCTAATGGGATCCCACTCCAAGTCAATCTACTTAACGGAGCCTAGCGAGTGATTCCCCAGTACAGTACAGCAGCCATACCGTTGCATTCAGCAGGACCACTACTAGGTCCCAATAACTGTATGGATTAGTGGTAGGATTTAATGTAGGTCCCTAGACTTTTTTGAGATGCCTTACCTGAATGAGGGTGGCAGATATGATTCAGGACCCAATGGGAGACCCTGGTCTTCTGGAGCAGCAACTGGAGGCCAGGCAGAATATCCTAGGGCAGCTCAAAGGACACTATACCTTTGCTGGGACAACTGAAACCTCTTAGATGTCTATTACCTACAACTGGAGTTTAGCCTCCCAGATCATATACAAAGAAAACAAGTAGGAACCAATCTACCATCAGTTCCTTTATATTTATCAGAAATATTACTTCCTGATCTCAGTGACTTACCTATTGGTACCTATTTTTAGTTCACAGCTGACTAGGTTTAAGACCATGGCAATCCACACTTCAGTGCTTATACTGACACAGCATGGTGACTCCATGTCCCTCGTTTTGCAAGGTGCTGAGGGGTCTTACTTTGCTCCTTGTTAGCTCAGACAGATGTGCAGTGCTGACAGATCACTTGGCTTGACTGGAAAACCTTACTAAAAAAGGCTGGTTACAAACTGGCTCTAGGAAGAGTTGTGCAGTCACTCGTGTTACGAGCAGAACTAACTGCTAAAAGCTGCGTGCTGGTTTCCAGGCTGCTGAATTTGGGTAATCTTGTCATTATTACTTGCTTTCAGAGAGTAGCACATATTGTTACATAACAAACACTTAGCTGATACCTGTTTGGGGGATACTACCCTACGTTCTTGAACCTGCTGAGACTTGAGCTAAGCTGGTATTGGGAAAGCTGCGAATTAGGATGGGGGCTCTCCGTGCTTACTAGCGTCTATTCTTCAGGAACAGACTGTCAGGAAATCTTTTAAATAGCATTTACCTTACCCTTAAAATGCTTACATCACTAAGAAAATCATGAAGTTTTATATCACCATGAAAATGAAAGAAAGTGACAAGATGTAGCTTGTCCTTAGCTAAGTCCATTTGTATGTCTGTACTTCACTCAGGTTTCAGGCTCCAGTACAGTCCTGTTTTCAAATTGATATGGTCTTCTTCCCCTGACTTTCCCACCCAATATATCTATTCAGACCACGCTCTACCTATACTCATCTTGTGAAACTCTGATATTGATCATGTTAGATCAGCCCTAAAGAGATCCCTGCATGAGTCAGTCAATAATGCCAGAATCCAGCCTTGGTGAAGTGTCAAACACATTTCCAAGGCAGAAAAGCCCCCTGCAATGCCATAGCATGGGTTAGTCCTACAAAGTCCAAATTCCTGCAGCGATAGCAGAAATAATTCAACACAGGCAAACAGACTTCATAATCTGACACAGTCATGTCCTACTCTATTGCAGGACAGATCTACACAGTCCAAGAATTATGAGGTAAAGTCAATTTAGTAATACACAGACATTTGTTTGCCTGACTACTCA